CCTCTTGTAAGAGGGGAATAGTTATCTAAGGCCTCTGTAACACAAATGCAAAAATGGTGCACATTCTTAAGGCATTTGCCAGATATTATCTATCCCTGAGATGTCCTGAGAATCCAAGCTTAATGTTAAGAAGGGATCCACAGTCCCAAAAGTTGATGTATGAGAAGCAGACTCATAAATAGATAGAACCACCAAGAACGACATGAGGATTTTATAGTAGTAAATATTTAGTAGGTACTAACTGTGCCAAGGATTGATTTTAAAAACTATATGCATAGTTTTAAAAATGAGGACACCGAGGCTAAAAAGCATTAGTTAGACAAGGCTGGGAGTGTGGCTCAGTGGTAGAGCACTTGACTAGTATGCACAAGGCCCTGCATTAGATCCCTAGAGCCACAAACTGAAGGGAAAAAAAAGAACAAAAACCTTTCCCAAATAAAAGTGTCTTCATAGCAAAGTAAACAATCAGTAGAGTGAAGAGACAATCTACAGAATGTTAGAAAATAAGTGCAAAATGTATCTGACAAGCAGTGAACATCCAGAACTTGTAAGAAACTCAAATACCAAAAAAAAAAAAAAAAAAAAAGTTAGAAAGAAAGAAACCAAACCCCGATAATACAACTTTAAAATGTGCCAAATAGTTTTAAAAATTAATTAAAAAAATAAAAAATTTAAAATGGTAATGTAAACTTATCAAAGGACTTCTTAATAAGCTAGAATCATAAAATGGAAAAAGGAACACATCCTTGGGAAACAGGCAATATAGAATGCTTACTACAGTATCATTTTTAAAAAGCAAAAGATCAGTGACAATGAAGACAAGGCAGTGGCATTTGGAGACTGAAAGCAATTCGATTTATTTAACTTTGAAGAACAAAAGCTTATTCTTCTAAGAAGAAATCAAAACACATTTTCTCTGGAAAAAAGAAACCATTTTAACCGCATTGCCAAAATAAATCAGGCAGAGTATAAGTTAGATCTAGCCACAGAAAAAAACTCAGGCCAAATAAGCAGGGTGAGAAGAATAAGGAGGGGGAGAGGACAAACAACAGATTTTGTTTTTAAAAGACCAAAGGAAAGATGGGGAGAGAGAAATCCTGCCCCAATATTGACACAGTTCCATTTAGAACACAGTCATTCCTTGGGATCCATGGGGGAACTGGTCCCAGGACCCCAAAGATACCAAAATCTATGGATGCTCAAGGGTCTGACATCAAATGGTACAGTATTTGCATGTAACCTACATGGGTCCTCCTGTAAACTTTAAATGATCTCTAGATTACTTGTAATACCAAATGCAATGTAAATGCTACGTAAATAGTTGTTACACCATATTGTTTAGGGAATGATGACAAAGAAGTGTGTATGTGCTTGGAATAGATTCAATTAGAAGAAAAAAATATCTGGATCCACAGTTAGTTGAACCCATGGATGTGGAATCTACAGATACCTGGGACCAACTGTACTCAGTTCAGTTTCCATTAAAACCACCTAAAAAGGGAAAAAAAGGAAGGAAGGAAGGAAGGAAGGAAGGGAGGGAGGGAGGAAGGGAGGGAGGGAAAGGAAAACTAACCAATGGGTGGATCTACATTTGCATTTGGACCTATTCTATAGTCAAAGCATTCCAGGAAAATAGCTTAGATCAAATTCCACATTTGAACTAAACCTTCTTTCAGGAAAAAAATGCAACTATTATCCAATTATATAAAAGTCACATAACACCCCTTTCCTACTTTATTAGTTAAATTCTGGTACAAATCTGATTCGGCCTAAATTCAGAGATTTTGACCCAGTCAGAAAAATTTCAGGTTTCTCTAGTTGGAAAATCAAGTCAAATTAAACTTTCCAGTCACTCTTCCTTGATAAGAAATATAAGAAAAATCTTAATAAATATATAATTTCTTTTAAATATCAGTGAATATTCGCTTTCTTCCTTTTTCAAAGTCCATACTCTATTGGGGTAGTCTCACAGGGTCACCCAGTAGGTTCCAACATGAACAGGGACCTGATTTTCCTGGACCCAGTTAAATGAAGTCTGTGACTCCTGAAACCAAGCTGACTTGGTTTAACAAATTCTACCACTTTCTTACTGGTAACTCTAAACAAGTTGTTTAACCTCTGTGCTTACGAACTTAATTTGAGAAATTAACACACAGAATGGCCTTTCAAGACAAGCCATGTACTAAATTCCAAAAGCTGAGTTACAATTAATTTACTCCATGGATCATGGGCATTCATAAGATTATTCTCTCTGACTTTGAGCTTGAAAATTTCCATAATTAAAGATTTTTAATTTCAAAGTTAATTACAGCAAGTTGGAGGCTCAGAGAATGCATTCTCGTCTAGGCCTCTGCTGATTGGGATAGCACAAGAAGTGTGACTATCTTTTAAGGAGAGCCAGTTATAGTCTAAATACTCCCTTGGCACTTGCCTTAAATCCATGACTTTCTATCTTTATTTCACATTCAAGGAGAAAGGGGGTAAGGGCTGTTAGGCAAAATTTTCAAACGGTGAAGTTCACATTGAATTCACCCATGTCTTCTGATCAAATGCAATATCCTGCTAGATGACAGTTGGCTTTGCAGAGAGTATCAAATTGTAAACCAGTTACATGTGGTCAGGACTTGAGATGATCAGATCAAGTTCCTGGAGTCAAATACAGACAGAATTTGGGCCAAGAAAGCCACCTGAGCAATCTTAATTCTTTTAACCTTCCCAAGCCTTAGCCAGAATCTACTTAGGACTAGGTCTAATGGGTCTTATAGTTCCTGCCTGAGACTAAGCCACATTCTTATAACCTGAGCTTCATCTCATAACCTGCCTAACCTGCCATCCAGGTGATAACCTGTCACACACTGTCATCAAAACCCAGGCATTCTTTGCTGGTCCTTCCCTACCTTAGACTTGAATAGCCAGATGCTTCTCTTCCCAGAGAGGAAAGTTCTTCTTTACTTTAATCAAAATACTTCTCTTAAGTTACCGTGGTCACTCAGTAATCCAAATCTAATACAGAGGTGCCATTTTCTTTGTTCAATAAGACTTTCTTTTATGCTGGAAATGTTCTACTTCTGTACTATTCAATAGGGGAGATTCTCGCCTGTGGCTATTGAACACCTGACATATGGCTAGGGTAAAGTCTTTTGATATAAATTCATTTAAATTTCAATACCCATAGGTGACTGGTGGCTACCATATTAGACCATTGTTCTCAATCATCAGTGGAAACAGTCCCCTTAATGAGCATCCTCTGTGGATGGAAGGGTGGGTGTAATTGACTTTATAGTCAGAGACCCAGGTTCAAATCTTGACTTCTCTTTCCAGCTATGTGACTTTCAATATGTAATTTATCCTTTCTGTACATCAGTTTCCTCATCTGGAAAACTGGGATGATAATATGGACCCCCTTAGGAGATGTTTGTAGTGGAGACACGGGAGATATATACCAGCACAATGTTTAGAAGACTAGGATACTGAATTAACACTGGCTGCTATTATCATCCACTACATCATCCTGCTCCTGCCTGGCTCCCTTCCCAAGGTCACCAGTAACTGGCCCCAAGGCCAAAGACAGACTTTACTAAACTGCTTCTTTTCTTCAAATAAGGTCCCATTTGGCTCCTAATCTAGGGAAAGAGGGCAGATCTCCCCAAAGGCAAGCCTGAAAGAACAGCAGGAGAAAGCCAAAGCTGCCAGAGCCCCAGAGGATTCAGGAGCACAACTCTTTAATTACTTCCAGAACATCTACTCCTCTGAGCCTGGCAGATTATTGGAGAAACTTCAACCCAAATGCCACTGATCCCACCACCCACCAAAGGGAGCTAACTCACAGCACTCAGCAGTACTCACCAAGCACTGCCAGTGTGCCAAGCTCGGGCTTCCTGGTCAGTCCCCAGAAATCTCACTGCCACCCCTTGAGATAGCGTCATTTCCATTTGCCAGTAAGGCGGAAACAGCTGCAGCTCCGTGCCCAAATCCTGGGTTAGTGAGCAGTGAACTGGGATCTGAAGCTGGCAGCCTGGCTCCAGAGCTCAGATGCAACTTTGCCTCTTCTCTGTTCCTTCAAGGCCAAGCCTCCCCCACCCCACCTTCCCTCCCTCTGTACACTGTAAACACTCTGTCTTCAAGTTCAGATTCAGACAGCTCCTTGGATGCTTTGATAGCATGGCCGATCCCTTGCCCTTCACATATAATAAGCATAAAAAGGGAAACAGAAAGAAAAGAGTAAAAGGAAAGCTAAGCCAGAATCAAGTTATCACAGGGTTTGGTTTTGCGATTTTAAAGCCATGCCTTCCAAAATTAAAATTGCCAAACCAAGAAGCATTCATTTTTATTTTCTTCAAAATATTTGTTGGCAACAATTATAATGCTACTGAGGGCAATTCAGAGTAATGTTCCTACTGAGGGTACTGAGAGTAATATTCCTGTTGAGGGTATTTTCTTTGATGTGACACATCAAAGAAAATTGGTTTCCAATTCAAGGAAAAAGCATTGATCTGCTCACTCCAGCCTTTTTCAAAGCACAGTTTACCTAGAAATGATGACAAGAATATGTATCATTTGGCCTGCATGGGTTTTTTTTACAGGAAATTTTATAAGCCACAAACATTTAAAAACCAGTGGTAATTTCACATTTTAAAGTCTGGATTTTACTTTTTGTTGAATTAAGAAGATATAGCAACATTAGGTCTAATGCAGGCCCTACCAATGACTGATGTGATTTCTGGTTTGCTACAGTCTCCACCACTCCATATTGCCTAGTGTATAATCTTCTGTGCTCATTACTATACAGGCCAAGTCCCTGGAGTTATCAAGTTTGTAGCCTTTTTACAAGAAGCTCTGGGCAGACAAGTAATCATACACAGGGTCCCTTCGCCTTACCACTTTCAGGAAAGGTTTCCCATTTCCTTGCCAAATTTCATTCCTATGTGACCACAAACTAAAGGGAGGCTCTCAGTACCATGCATCACCTTAACCCCAATGTCACTAAAACTACAGCTCACCTGTTACTCTGTGCCACTTCGCTCTCTCTTCACAGGTGTTACAGGAACCTCTCCATTGACGCTCTCCGTCCCACTAACAGACATCAAACTTCTCCGCTCCTTCTGGTTTGCCTTGTTTTCCACTTTTGTAACTCTAAACCTAGAAGCGGAAAGAGAAGAGCTGATGAGCTTTGAGTAAAAATCATGAGTGAATCAAAAACCATCTATCTATCTAGGGCTGGGGCTGTAGCTCAGTGATAAAGTGCTTGCCTAGCAAGTGTGAGGCCCTGGGTTCAATTCCCAGCACCTCAAAAAAAAAAAAAAAGTCTATCTAGACAGGCATGGTGGTACATATCTATACTCTCAGCAACTAGAGAGGCTCAGGCAGGAAGATCACAGGTTTGAGGCTGCCTTAGCATTTAGTGAGACCCTGCCACAAAATTTAAAAATTAAAATTAAACTGTCTACGGATGTAGTTCAGTGGTAAAGTGCCCCCAAGTCCAATCCCTAATATAGAAAGAAAAAAAGTCTACACAGAGGACCCCAAACAAACTCAACCAGAAGTTGGAACAGCAATGAGAAACATTCAATAAGAGGGGCATTCCCCAGCAGCAAATCCTATAGTCCTCTGCCCAACTTTCCAGCTGATTCATTCAACCACATCATACACAACACTGATTATTTTATAGAGCATGCAAACTGCATTAAAACAGGTACTCAAGTATTAAACAGCCTCACAGTTGTGGTTTCTTACAATGACATGAGCTTTATCATCAGCTTTTTTTAACCACAGAAGGCTAATAAAAGCACAACTGATTTAAAACTAAACTGACATAGGGCTGGGGTTGTGGCTCAGCAGTAGAGCATGCGCCTAGCATGTGCGAGGCCTTGGGTTGGATCCTCAGCACCACTTAAAAATAAATAAATAAAAGTATTGTGTCCAACTACAACTAAAAAATAAATATTTAAAAAAAAAAAAAACTAAACTGACATAGCCGGAATGGTCAGTAGATAACTATCTCACAAAAATATACACCTGTCAGTGCTACACACACACACACACACACACACACACACACACAGCCAAAAGAACCCTAATAATGCATTTTATCAGTATTAGCTGGTGTTGGGTTGAAGATTTATTTCTGTTTTTTAAAAACAAATTTGAGTTAATTTTCAATAAGGCCTAAAGAAAAAATTAAAGAAGTTGAAAAAGAGATTTTCATTAAAGGAGAAGTTAAAGTAATTAACTTAATTTGACTGTTTTTTAGAGCATTATCATTAAATCCCTAGTCTTTCAATAATAGCTTCTTTCTAGTTCTGGTTTTAATTTCCACAAAAACAATCTAAAATAAATTCTCCTTCTTTGTCCAAAATGTGTTCACCAACCATGAGGAGGAGGAAGACTCTAGGAAGTGAAAGAAAGAGCAGGGGAAAGTTATAAACACAAAGCTATTCTGCCAAATGGGAAGACTCATAAGCAACATGTGTTGAAACACAGCCTGTGACCATTAAGTGCTCATAGTACCCAATATCTAAGAGAGCTGGGTTTGGGAAATTTCAAAAAGTCAAGTCAAACCTGAGTTGAAAATTTCAGCAGATTTTTTTTTTAAGCAAACAAAATGAGCTTTGTCCAAACAAGCTCCATGTTCTCATTCATCTGCATTCATAAATTCCCATGACTCTGCCTCTTAATAAAACACTGTGGTCATGAATTGTACTGTTTTGCTGTGGCAAACAGCCCTCGGTCTTCTCCTCTTGGCTTGTGCAACACATGCTGAAACTCAAGTGAATAAAAATAAAAATAATAATAATGAAGATAGTCAACATGCTCAAAACTGTTATGAAACCTTTACCTGAGTCATCTCGTCTAGTCTTCACAGCAACCCTATGAGATGAGTATGGCTGTCATTCTCACTTTAGAGGGGGACATGAGGCACAGGACCAGGTTAATAGTTTGTAAGCAGTGGTGCCAGACTCAAGTGAGGTAGAAGCAATGGGCTTGGGCTATACTTCCCAGAGGTCTGTCATTTGAGAAAGAAGGATTACTACCAACTTTTGCTAAGAGCTTCCCAACCTGACTCCCACATATAATCTTCACCTCTAGGCTCCAACTGTCTTTGCAGTGTATTGTTAGCAGTGCACTTCCTACCTGAGCCCAAACCGCAGAGACTGCAAAAATGCTTCATGTCAAGTCAGACTCATTTGTTCCTCAAACTGCAAGATCTTTGGATCACATATGGGTCACCAGTAAATGCTACTTTAAGACTGAGACCGCCAGGATAAAGAAAGAAGAAAGAAAAAAGAATGAAGCAATCATCACAATTCATATGGGTCTTATGTGGCAGATGCTTCACCTGATCTGTCTCCCTGGTACATGACTGTATAACATTTCCAGCTGCCTAGCAGTTAGGTGTAAGCAAGTGATTTCTGGCCAGGGAACGTGAACCACAATGATATGCAGCACTCCCAGGCCTTTCTCACTAAATACCCCCAGGAACAATCCTCCATGACCTTTCTCCTACTCACAGATCTGACATAGTCACGGCGGAAGGGGCCTGGGACTCTGGACAACAAGGTGAAGAGCCACCTCCCCAATTGCCTGCTTTGGATTCCATACATGAAATAGAAATGTCTACTCTGTATATAGTTGAGATTCTGAGTTCCATCTGTTATAAAGTGAGTAATTAATTATTTAACTTAATTAATACATCTCCCATCTGATCTAGCAATAACTGCCTTTTAGGGTTCTTCTGCTGTTGGAAACACAGAACTCAGACCACCTCTAAGAGTCCACAGATCTCATCTGAGCCAGGCTTAGGAGAACAGACTCCACATTTACAGCTATTTACAAATCTGTACCCAAATGCAACCATGTCCCAGACCCTCCAAAAGACACAAGGGACCATACCTGCCAACAGAGAGGACAGTGACTTCCCCTTGGCGCCGTGGCCGGCTCTCTCTGGACTTGTTGGTGGGTTTTATGAAGTGCCATCGCTTTTGCCGACACCGCTGACACACATCTCTCTCCACAGCTCCACCCACTGTGTGTAGATGGTGGCCGCAGACATGCTTCCCTGGGGTACCTCCTGGTGACAAGGGCCCAGGACTCACAGGTGGGCTCCCAGGGGTGCTGGGGGTCACTGGACTAAGGAAGGAAGGAAAAGGAGGAAATAGAACTGATTTAACTGAAATGCCAGCAAAAGTCATCTCTCCTCTATAATGTAAAAAAATGGTTAAATGAAAAAAAAAACACAACTTCCAATTGTCAAATGGACTTTGTGAATGTTAGGCAGCAGGCACTCAGGACCCTCGACCATGTAAGGACAACACATCTCTAACTATAATAACGTGATTTATCACTTCTAGAATGTAATTAATTGGCTAGAAATAAACCACTGCTTCTGCTAATGATGCTCTGCTTGACTTTACAGCATTAGGCTTCTTTGTAAAACACGCATCTCCCACTTCATGCAGCCATACTAACTTCTCACACTTAGCCACATCTGCCTGGAACTCGGCTAAGAGATGCCTGGAACATACATGCCCTGGGGAAGAGAAAAACTTCAATTCCAATTGAATTTTCAGATGACTTAATCTAGACTATTCAATCCAATCAGACTACTGCATCAAAGGAAGAAAGCTTTTAGGTCAAGGTATGAAAAGTAATGCCTCAAATAGGTGTTTGGTGGTGACAATAAGTCATGAAAATAGCTAACACTTCGTATTCTAAGAATTTTTTATATAATTCAATTAATCTTTATAAAACCTTACAATGTATGTACTATTAATTTCCTTGTCTTAAAAATGAGGCCACTGAGGCTCAGAGAAACTAAGTAACTGGCCTGACGTCATACAGCAAATAAGTGTGGATCTGAAGAGAAAGACAAATTTTAGAAACCACACTCTTACCCACCATGCTATATATTGTGCTTCAGAAACAGTGGAGGCCACTTTAATAATCTAGAAGAAATTTAGCCAGACTAGTCAAATCACAAAATGCAGAAGTATATAGGCCAGATGTTGGCTACCTTCAAAAGGCACATGTCAAGGTCTGGCCCCTAGAAAGGAAGGGATTAGAACAGGACAGGGCCAGACTGACCAGGAATAACCAGCCCTCTGGCAAATGTGGGTACAGAAAGGGCAGCACCTCTACAGAGCTGATACCTGAGATTCAGCAAGAGCCCCAAGGGCACATGGAAGCCTTATGATGGCAAAAAAACAGCCATGGGCTACTGACAACTAGCCTGCCGCACACTCTTGAAGTACAGACTGTGACAGGAGACAGTCTTAACGGTACAGCCAGTCAAAAGTTTCCTGTGCTCTTTAGGGATCCACTTTAAATTGTTAAAATAAAACACAGAGCAGATCCTTCCTGGAGGAACACAGTGTCAACTTAGTCCCCTAGACCAACCATCCCCAGGTGCATCCCATACTTCCATGTCTGGTGCCTTTTCTCCTGCACTTTTTTTTTTCTGCCTGCAACCAGCCCCTGCCACTTGAATGTCCACTCCAGATGGCGCCTCTTCCATGTACCTCCCTGACTTTCTGCTGGACCCACAGAGTCCCTAGAGCTTCCTGTCTTCACCTCCTCTACAGCCACTTAGGCTGTGCACCACAAGGCCTCATGCACCTGTCTCCATTCCTACAGACTCAGCTCCTCCAGGACAAGGGTCTGTGCATGTCCTGCTCTAGCACAGCACCCAGCACACAGTGGGCATTCAATAAAGGCTCCTTGCTGGAGAAATGAAAAATTTTATAAAATACAGCTATTGGCAATTAATTATAAAGGAATATAGAGCTCCACAACTATAACCTAAAACCAGTAATTCAAAACATACAATTATCATCAAACCAATCTAGTGTTCATTCAGTCATCACTGTTCATAAGGGTCTTTCAGTGCCCGAGGTACTTCACATTCCTCATAATAACCCAATGGAGTTAGTACAATGGTCTTTCTCCATTTTACAGATGATAGGTGGAGCTCAGAGTGCCCAAGAACAGGTAGCCAATAAGAGGTAGAAGTAAGATTTGGTATACCAGTTCCTAAGCTATGTTCCTGCTCTTAGTCTCTTGACCTTCCTTCCTCCCAGTAATGTTCTATAACATCAATTCTTGGCCAAGGTGACACTCCCCCAGGGGACACTGGCAATGTGTGGAGACATCTGGAGCTGCCACACCTTGTGGGAGAAGTTAGGAGCTGTTCAGAAGGGCATCTACTAAGTAGAGGTCAGGGATACTATTAAACATCCCACAATGCACCCAGCAGTACCCCTCAGCAAAGAATTGGCTGGTCCAAGATGTCAATAGCACCAAATTTGGGAAATCTGCTCCAGCAGAACAGCATTTCCAATGCCATCCCATCTGAGCAAACAACTGGGGAAATGTCCCATTCCGTGGGAGGAGGAGACTTACCTTTCAATATCACCCAAGCTGTTATCTGCCACCATAGCCTTTAAAACGTCAGCATTTGCTAGGGAATAAAAAGAACATTAAAGAATTAAAGTAGAAGGGGTGAACAATCATAGAATTATCACATCATAAAAGCTGCTGGAAAAACATGGAATTCAGGTCTTTCAGTTCATAGTTGATCCTGAGACTCTGGATAAGGGAGAAGGTTAATTTTCCAGGTGGGTCAACTGGCTTAGCTCTGCTTCAAGACCTGTAAATCCTTAAGTCAGGCCAGATATCTTAAAATTAGTATTGATCACAACATATATATGTAATTATCATATATGACACATATATATGAAATATAGGCTGACAAATTGAACTTCTGATGTTAATTTTTTTAATCTAAACATGCAAGGGGGAGGGAAGCTAGGCTTTCAACAAAATCAAATTGAATTTCAGCTTCTAGGGTCCCCTGTCCACACTCACACCCTCACCCCATGTCCCTTTCCCTCTTGCAGAGTGGTCAAATTCTCAAGAATCAAAAGCTGAAGTGCATGTTGCATTTCTCTCAGCTATTTAATTGGTAAGGCCAAATACTCTTGCTGCCTCCTAACCTTTTCCATTGATTTTTAAAGCACTGTTCTCATGACTAACCACAATGAATTCTCTAGAGAGGAAAAAATAAAAAATCACTATTTACCATGCGAGCTGAAGCCAACATTTAACATTCCAATGAACCCCCAGAGGAGTGCAATTAAGGCCAGTTCCAACCACTCCTGCTGGAGGTGTTGAGAGCTAAGGGTTTATAGGAAGCATTTCTCAACCTAGTTTTCCTTCTTGCCCCACCCAGGAGCCTTCTTCCTTATTTATTTTTTCCTATTTATACTCCATGAAAATGAAGATACATATCTTTTCATGTTCCAAATGCTTATCTGTGCTGTGTTTTGGGTTCCCTCCATGATCCAATTTTCATCCCCCAGGGGTCCTCTTGGCCTACGGTCACCCTTAAGAATGCATAGATTTCTTTTTAAAAAAAATTAACATAACATACCATCCTTTGTTAAAAGAAACACTTTCTTTGCCCTTCATAACTATCCCTGAGGATGTCCAAATGCATTTCCAAACAAAATTGATTTAGGAAAAAAAAAAAGACCCTTGTCATTGCAAAAGTAGTGAAAATGGATTCATGGAATCTCCTTCAATGCAAGGTGACACCTTACCCTTTGTAAAACATTCAACTACTCAATAGCAACTGAGAGAGTGTCAGGCATTGTATCTTTTAACTAATAAAGACGGGGCAGGAAAATTAACTTTGCTCTCAGATAATGGGTGAGATATTGCTGTGGTTTGGATGTGCTTTTGCCCCCCAGAGATTTGTATGTTGGAAGTTTGGTCCCAGCATGGCAGCCTGGGAGGTGGTAGGACCTTTAATGAGGTCTAGTAAGAGGTGATGAGGTCATTGAGGGTACAGCCCTCAGAAATAACTGATAAAGATCTTATGGTACTCTGGCTGGTTCTCAAGAGAGGTTTGTTATAAAAAAGAGGGATGGAGGTTATACAAGGGGAGAGCTGGGCATGTAGCTCGCTGGTTGAGTACCTGCATAAGGCCCTGGGTTGAATCCCCAGTGCTGAAAATGAACAAATAAAAAAGGGAGCCCAACTCATAAATCACTCTAAGGCTTCCTGTGTTCCCATGTGATCTTTCTCTTTCACACATACTTCCACCATGATGCCACCTATTGTGTTGTGACCCAGCCCAGGGGTCCTCACCAGAGGCCAAATCAATGGGGCTTCCTAACTTTGGACTTTCAATGACCAAAACTGTGAGCTAAATCAACCTCCCTTTTAAATAAATACTCAGCTTCAGGTATTTAATTATAGCAACAGAAAATGGACTAATACAGGGATACAGTCCCATGTACAACTTTGTAATTGATTATATTTAAAATACACAGTAATTTGCCAGTTTATCAAACTTCAAAATCATAAAATCAAAAAAAGGGAAAACAACAACAAAGGACATAAAACATGGATAGCAATAACTTTAATACTAACAATTAAACTAATGAGCTTTTTAAAAACAAAGCTTAAATAGTTGCCTGAGGAAATTATTCACCTATAAAATGATGACTGCCTATAAAATGAAACATCAAGTTGTAAAATGATACCAAAAGATAAAATGTATTAAAATAATTACCAAAGTTTGTGTTCTGTAGACTTGTTTCTCTTTTTTGTGTGTAGGGGGTATGCTACTGGAGATTGAACCCAGGGGCACTTCACCACTGAGACATATCCTCAGCCCTTTTAATTTTTATTTTCAGACAGGGTCTCACCAAGTTGGTGAGGCTACCTTGAACTTGTGATCCTCCTGCCTCAGCCTCCAGAGTCACTGAGATGACAGGTATGTGCCCTTGTGCCTGCTGTTTCTCATGTTTTTATGAATTCCTGTGACTTATTCTTATCTCTTATAAATAATTAGTAAACAGCTCTTTGTTTGCTCTGAATGAAGTTTCTAAAAGCAGACTAGGTCCTACACAAACACCACTCTCATCCACACTGTGGGGGGACAGTGGGCATATGGGATTAACACAGAATACACATTTACACGCATGTACACACGCAAGTCCCCTCTATCTCTGGGCTAACGGCCAAGTCTACACCAGAGAGTAAACTGCAGTAATGTGTCCCTGGGGAACCTTTCTGATTTTCTGTGATGAGAAGGCTTTCTAACATCACATCACATTAGGACTTGAAAACACACTTTAATTTGGTAAAATTATAATAAAAGAACAATAATATAGGTTCTATTGAATAAACGGTTGTCCCATGGTATCTAGGGAGGATTGGTCCTTGGACCTCCCAGAAGACACCAAAATCTTCAGGTGCTCAAGCTCCTCATATAAAATGGCAGATGCCTATGCAAATTCTCCGAGTACTTAAGATAATCTCTAGATTACTTTTAATACTGAATGCAATGTAAATACTATGTAAATAGTTGTTATTCAGAATTATATGTTTAAGGAAAAATGACAAGAAAAAGTATGTACACGCTCAGTACAGATGCAACAGTTTTTTGTTGTTTTGAACAATTTCAATCTGCAGTTGGTCAAACTGGCAGACACAGATCTTTCTCTTTCACACATACTTCCACCATGATCTCAAAATCAAAAGTGCCAACTATCTCTCCTCCTACTTTTATTATCCATAACTCCTATAAAGCCATAAAAGATGTTTTTTTTTATGCTTGCCAACATTTTGTCAGCTATACTTCCTTTCACAGGCTTCTTGAGAATGGGCAAGGAAAACCCATAGAGAACAAATGAGTGGTGTTTTCCAGAAAATGCTTCCTCTTTTCCCCCTGAATTCATGCTTTATCATATGCATAAAAGAGTCCTTTTCGGGCAAGAGCGTCCTGTAGTCTCCCTTACTGCTATCTCTTCAAAGTTTTCCTGACACTCAAGGCAGAAGTCCCAAGCAAGAACTACTATTACCATCACCAGAATTAACAAGGCTGATATGTGCCAGTCACTGCCTAAAAGCCTCACAGACCTTACTCTGTTGGATACTTCCAAGGCCCTAATACAGATAGAATTATCATCCCCATTCTACTATACAGAGAAATGGAAACTTACTAGCTGGCCACAGTCACACAGCTAGAAGTCACTTGCCCACCCCCTAGGACTGTCTGAGCAAGTACTTTAAACCCTAACACTCTCCTTCCTACTGTTTTAAGGTCCAGGTCTCTACCCAAACAGACGCAGACTGACTGAAGTTCAGAGCACAGTCTACCTATACAGCGCATGGCAGAGCCCTCTTGGTGATCCTTTAGTTTGTGGAGGCATCTCTTCTGCCATGACAAAAATTGAATGTCACAGTAAGAGCTTCATAAAGGAGCCGATCTCTCTCCTCACGTGAATATTTCGGGATATTTGGGAATTAATTATAAAACTCTCTATTTGTACTCCGGGAGACTCCGGCCGACCCAGAAAACAAAGCTATAGACTCCCCAGAACTTTCCAAACTTGTAAGAAAACTCCACTGACTATGGAATTTCCTGAGCCATAGGAATGTCTTCTGTTATTCATAATGAACCTCTTGATCACACTCAGTCTACACTAATGGAGTGACTTAGGGTGGGGCCAGTTGTCAGAAAGGTTGACACTTTCAGTCCCAACCACTGGGAAGTAGGGGAGCGGGTATTCTGGGACTGGAGATAAAGCTCTACAAAAACTCTTGAACAATAAGATTTAAGAAGCTTCCCAGTTGCTGAAACCATGGGGGTACCTGAAGGGTCCTGTGCTCAGAGAGGACATGCAGTCTCCACTCCCCAGTTCCCAGGATCTTGCCCTACACAATCTCTTCCACCTGGTTGTTCCTCAATTAAAACCTTCACAATAAGGCAGTAAATGCAATCAAGCATTTCCTTGAGTTCTACAAGCCAATTTTACAAATTATCAAGCCTCAGGTGGCGGGTGGGGGGGGGGGGGKGGTTATGGGAATTCCCTAATAGTCTACAGTCAAAAGTACTTGAGTCCTGGACTTGCAATTGGCATCTGAAGCTGGGCAATCTTGTGGGACTAAGCCTTTAACTTGGGGATCTGATGCTAACTCCGAGACAGGGTCAGAACTGATCAGAAATTAAATTGTAGGACACTAGTCTGGAGGTCAGAGTGTTGGAGAATTGCTCAGTGTGGAAAACCCCACATCTCCTGTCAGAAATGCAATATGAGGGTGTGAAGAAACTGTGTTTGCCTAACTGGTCAGCTAAAAGATCCACCACCAAGGGACAGATACCTAAACTAACACTCAGTTCCAAAATTAAAAGACACGTACATAAGTACAGTTTGTTTATCTGATCTTTACAGTCTTAGAAATTAAAACCTGAAATTAAAAGGAGATGTAACAATGCACAGGTGGAAGACACACTATTTAGAACCAGACACAAAGAGCTGTATTGCTCATTAACCATGTGAATTTAACCCCTTGGAGCTCTCTTTTCTTCAGTGGTAAAATGGGCATGAAAATACCAACTTTAGAAGGATGACCTGATTAATCTAACCCCTTGGAACCTTTCTTTCTTCACCTGTAAAATGGGTATGAAAATATCAACTTTAGGGGATGATCTGAGGATTAGATGAGATTTACACACATAAAGCACCTAGATTTAAATCATTTAAATACATACGGCACACTCTAAAAACAGCAATGAAAATTATGCTGAGCCATATAAAGCTGCTTTATATGGTACCATATAAATCTAAGTGAAGAACAGTTGAATAGTCTAACAGCTTGGGCCATGCAGTGCTCTTGCTGAAAATCGAGGATATCGGGGAGGGGAGATCCCCAGGGGAAGAGCTGAAGGCAGAAGGGCAGGTACCTCCTGATGATTACAAAGGTATTTCAACTTTTAGACAGATGGCTCAACTATATCAGTGCCTGCTGCATGAGTCAGCCAGTGATGACCAGAACAAAGATTAAGGGAAAGTTTTTCTTCTAAATTGTATACTCAAAGTATTCAATATGGGAATCCATAGCTTTGGAGGAAGTGGGCAAGCACTTCTACAGACCTTGAGAATTGCTAAAGGGACAGAAACTGCTATGGCCTGGGTGTGGCCACATGATTAATCCATTCATGGACTAATGAATTCATGGGTTATTGAAGCAGAAGCTTTGTTGTAAAAGAAAGCACTCTGTCTTGCCACATTCTGCCTTCTGCCACATTATGATAGAGCAAGAAGGTCCTTACTGAGCAGATGCTGAGCAGATGCAGGTGCCGTGCTCTTAGATTTGCCAGCCTCCAGAAGTAAGGGCTAAATAAACATCTATTCTTATAAATTACACAGTTTGTGCTATTTCAGTTATAGCAACAAAAAACAGGATGGTATCCTTCTGAGATAATAACCAGCATTCAGAACAATGATCCTACTTCATTTAATCAAGATTAAATGAATCTTCCATTTAAGTGAAAGAAGGTCTAGGATACATTTCACAGGGGTCACACACTTAAATCCATAAGGGTTAAGCTTTTTTAAAGTTTCAACACCTAATAGATAACAGAGAATACAAATCCATGGAGCCGAATGCAGGAGGGGATGCTAGTGGATGGGGGAGGAGGCATGGGAGGGACTGCTCAACGTCCTGTAGTTTCAGTTCACAAAGATGAAACAGCTATGGACAAAGATGGTGGTGACCCTGTACAACACTGTCAAATACTTAATGGCATTGAATTCTATACTTTAAAGTGGTCACAATAGTAAATTTTGTCATGTGTATTTTACCACAATTTTTTAAAGCACAAAAAAAGTGAAAAGATGTATGATTTTGTCATGATAAACCCAACCCACTATGTATAACTATAAAGCTCTGATAAAAATAAAAAGACAAGAAAAGGGAAAAAAGAAATAGATAACACGGGAGTGCTTATTATACTGAGCACTTCACAGGTTGCTATTTTGCAACAGTGCTGTGAGGCAAATATTATTATGACCCTCATTCTGCAGGAGGAAACTGAGGCTTTATGAGGTAATGACTTTCCCCAAACTGTACACAACCAAGAAGTGATGAGGCCAGGCTTTGATATAAGGTGTCAGCCCCAGGGCTGGATCTGCTACACTGAGACCAACTGAGACTCAAAAAACTCACAAAAGTAAAACTCCCATGGCTGGGTAAGGCTAGAAACTGAGGTATCAGGAAGCTCAGGCATAAAACTAATGAACAGTCCACACAAATTCTGACTCTTCCAAGCAGATTTTTAATAAAACTAAAATAGTAAATTGTTCTAGAAAACTAAAATATCCATACCTTCATTTTTCATGATGTAGTGGACAATTCGCCCAACAGTGTCACTATTTTCATTTAAACTGTCATTCAACTCTGAAAGAAAAAAGAGAAGAGAACATGTTATAACCGGTTCCCAGTAACAGGTCAATTAGACCTTCATCTCAGAGCCCAACATCTCACTGAACAGCTTCCAGAAAGGTCAAGCACTCATGCACAGTGCTAAGATTTAGCTTTCCTCCTTCATCCCCAATCTTCCCTGTGTCACATGTTGTGACTTCACTGACAAAAGCATAAAAGCACGTATTGCGGTTGCCCCTAGATCTCTTCTCAAGATCAAGGTCACTTTCCAAGACAATAATATAGAAATGCATTTATACCAACACTCATTGCTATTATTTCTTTCTCATCGTTTCCTTAAACCTCATTAAAAGTTAAAAAAAAAAAAAGATTCCCTTAGATTTTATTTTAACTGCAAGCTTAAGAGTATTAATTTATTTTTTAAATTGGATAATTATCCACCCATGTTTATGAAACTCTCTTATCCTTTCTAATATAGTCCCAAATTATCTAGATCTTGGCCACAGTTATTTATCCACAAATTTAATTTACTATAACAGTAATATGTGATGGTCCTTGGACGGGGGGAAAAAAAAAATCAAACCTCCACTCATAAACTGATCTGTATAATTTATTTCAAGACAAGAAAAAAGAAGGAAGGTTCAAACACTCCATCCTACTTCACAGAGAAAAAAATCAGGGTATACAAGGCCCACCCAGTTACCCAGAAGTGTCTTCTCCATGCCAAGGCTGTCTTTGCTTCTGTGTGAAGCACATGTTGGGACAGACATGCAGGAGCTGATGGAAGCCAACATGCAGGTGGCTGTGAAGGAGCAGAGKAGGAGGCTCTGCTTTCTGTTGACAAACACTTGGCTTTGGTTTGCTCATGAGCATACACATGACTCATCAAGCAACCGTGTTCCTCCTCAGCCTCAAAGGTCAATGGAGGTGGAAAAACCAACAGTCCAGCAAGCTGGCAAGGAATGAGGAACCTTCCCCCACAGGCCCTGCTGATTTGCTCCATGGGTGACCTACTCCAAATGTCACTTCTCAGAGGGGCTGAACAGGATTTAGAGAGTTATCTACTTTCCCTCAAGGGCCAAGCCAGGAAACGTCCCTGAAGGATGACTGGAAAGAAATACAAGGGGAAACAAGATGCATCTCTCAGGTTTATCCAGACACTACCTCAACTCCACATGACGAGGAAAGGATGAGACATGCTGGAATTCATACCACCAGTTCTACTTTTACTCCACTATTCACATACTCATTTCCTTAACCAATATAAATTTCATTTGCATAGATTTAAGATAGAACTCCCCCCGCAGAAGTAATACTACAAAAATGGTGAGACTTGTTCAATTTTCCCACCATCCTTATTACAATCTGAGTCAACAATAACACCAAGGAGTGACGTCCACTGAGTGGCCCTATGTGTCAATCACCACTGCATCTTCTCTCTAAATTCAAAGTACATGACAAGTTGGAGACTTTTATCCTCATTTATATTAAAATAAAATGTCAATTAAATTAGAAATTAACTTAGACAAAATTAAACATGGCAGATATTCAGAGCACACATAACTTGCTCAAGACATTAGGGCCAGAGAAGGCAAATGCCCAGTAGGTGTTCAGTAAACAAAAACAAGGTTTCAAACTCGAGGTATGATTACTGCAAAACATACACTTACATTACACCAAATGAGCTGCTATTGCCTCATAAATACAGGAAGCATATGTGACTGGTTGCTTATTTAAAAACTGTTCCCCCACATGTAAAAGGAGCCCAGGTTATTTACCTATCTTTTCAACCTTTTCCTCTTCGATGTCTTGCTCAGCCTCTGTAGTACAACGATAACCTTTCTTTTTAAGCAAATGACAGATAAGGACTCCAAAGAGACCCATGATGAAGAAGACAGGGACAAGCACATATGCAATGTATTCTGGATGTCCATTCCCAGTATTGTTTGTGGGCGATGGGGTCGTCTCTGTTCTCGAGTGCAAAGTGTGGCTGCCACCATTGTCTACAGAAAAGAACATGCACAGTTGTTATTACATGGGATTGGGGCAAAAGAAAATTCTAATGACTCTCAAGAAATGTTCACATTCAATCAGTGTCTCTAGCCTGGTGAAGTGGTATACTCCTATGATTCCAGCTACTTAGGAGGCTGAGGCAGGAGGATTGCAAGTTTAAGGCCAGCCTCAGTAACTTACAGACCTTGTCTTGTTGTAGGGATAGACCAGATAGGACACCAAAGATAGCAGGAAACCATTTTATTTAGCTGCAGTCTGGTTCAGAGGGTACAGCTTTTGCTGTAATCAATTAATCCCCTGAACCCCAAGTTCAGGTAGTTTCATAACTTTATACCCAGCATGTAAGGGGAGGGGCTCAGAAGTTCAGTCTGCAGAAGTTCACATAAAAGCAGCTTTTTCTTTCACTGTTCTGGGCAAGTTAATCCTTCAAGGACAACACCTGAGAAGGAAAGAGATTCTTCTCCCCTTTTTTTTTCCTCCCCCTGCCAGCTGTTACCATGGAGCCCTATTGGAAACTTATCTTAGAAATGTAGACATCTCGGTGAAGCTCCAGCCCAAGGTCACAGGCCTTGTTAAAGGATTTGTCTTTTTTTTTTTTTAATCACATTTTGCATTTGCAAACACACTTCTACAAACTACTATACTGGATACATGTTTGTGAAAAACTAGTAAGAGGGCATCCAGCACCTGGAGTGCTGATTTCTTCCAGGCCAGTAGCCAAGTAAAATAAAGCAACAGGAAAATAGGAAGTTTACCTACATTGAACTCTTTTGTAGAGACTTTTTTGCTGATAGTCCTAAAATCAATTATAGTGAAGATTTCTGGAGAAGCTTAGTTAAGATTTTCAGTGGTGTGTGTGTGTGGGGGGTGCCACTATAGTCTCAAAATAAAAAATAAGAAGAGCAGGGGTATAGCTTGGTAGTAGAGCACCTCTGAGTTCAATCCCCAGTACCAACAACAACAACAACAACAAAAACCCGACAGCATCTATCTAGTTCCAAAACCACAGGCCACACAGCCTAGAGGGTCTGGCAGCACACAAAGAATAAGAGCCCAAATTTGGGCTAAAACAATCCCAATTCACCTATGTCTGCCACTCATACACAGGAACCCATCCGGGGTCATATAACCTATTGAGGCCTGTACATTTATGTATCCATTCACTTATCCAAATAAACATTTACTGCATGCCCATTATTTGACTCCCCTACCCCAGAGCTGGGAATAGACAGGGATGGACAACATAAATTCAGCCCCTGCCATCTTGGAGTTTTGGGGAAGCATCATAAACAGCACTAAGAAAATCAGTATCTGGTCAAATCATGGCAGATGGCGAGAAGGGTCGTGAAAGGAGTACGCGGTCACTGGGAAAGAGAAAATAACACTGGGTGGGACCTGGCTTCTGGCATCAGGAACAGGAAAGTTGTGAAAGGGGCATAGTATGGAGAAAAAGAGAAGTTTGCTTTTAGATGTGTCAAAGTACCACATGGACATGTGCCAGAGGCAGCCAGATACCATGGCCTTTGGGGGTGCCACATGGCCTCCAAAAAGTAAGACAGAGAGAGAACCTGGAATATGCAATTATAAGATGTGGCCAATTAAGATGGAGCAGACTACACAGAAATAAACTGTATTGTGTCATGGAAAAATGAGGAAAGAAGTAGCAAATGAAGTGAGGGGTCAGGTTGATCTCAGCAGTTAGAATACCCTGAAGTGAGAAAATGAGGCTTCCTTCCATCACCAAGAGTCATACACACAGCTTACAAAACCCCAAAACTAGCAAGCTAGAGACATTCAATCATACATAACCTTTCTCAAGAACATTTTGGGGAAGGAAAAAAAAAATCAATGTTATAAGGATTGTATTGGGTACAAATAACTGGTATGAAATGAGAGCTCATCTCAGGAACAAACAGTTTCAAACAGAAGCTTAATTTGCAAACCAGAGGCCAATGAACAAAGGGCAACCTCTATTACACAGGAATAGTCATTGTCTTTGAACAGGAAAGAAAAGAACTGGTTCCTTAGGTTTGTAAAAAGCTGCATTCATTATTTTATCAAGTAACCTCTAGAATTTGAGATAACCTATAATTTTTTTCTGATTTCTCTCCCAAGAAAATGATGTATATGTAGTACAGTTCCTGCATAATGACATTTTGGTCAACAGTGAACCACACACATATTTGATAGAGGTCCTGTAAGGTTACAATGAAAGCTGAAGAATTCCTGTCACCTAGTATTTTCTGGATCTTTTCTGTTTGGATGCACAGATACTTATCCTTATGTGACAGCTGCCAACTGTATACAGTATAGTGACATGTTATACAAGTTTACAGCCTAGAGCAATAGGCCACACCATATAGCACAGGTGTGTACAGACTGCACAATCTAGATTTGTGTAAGTACACCATCACCTAATAAAGTATTGCTCAGAGTGTATCCCCATCACTAAGCAACACATAACTATATATTCCTAAATATATGCAACTATGTCATCTAAATTAAAGTTTAACCTCAAGCCTCACCTTCAATATAAACCAGAAACACTTTTTTTTTTTTTTTTTTTTGGACTTGGGACTGAATCACTTTACCACTAAGCTACAACCCCAGCTCTTTTTATTTTTTAAGATAGGGTCTCACTAAGTTTCCCAGGCTAGCCTCAAACTTGTGATCCTCTTGCCTCAGTCTCCCAAGTCACAGGGATCATGTTCATGTGCAACTATCCTGGCAGTAGAGTGCTAAATACGTTTTTTTCCCTTCTTTTACTAATACATGCTCTATGCAACAGGACTAGGTGACAACTGAGATTTTTATTCAGAATAACTGTTTATTCAATTCAGAGGTGGTAACAAACTAGCTTTGGGGAAAAGAAAAACAGGATGAAAACAGAAGGCTCAGAAATGGAGACAAATGGCACCTCCTGAACTAGATGGCTGGGAATAATTGTCAACTTGGCAACTAACAAACCCTTACACATACTACCTGTTTCTGCAGTTCTGTGACTTATAAACATGTATCATTGACTTTCTCTTATAATTATTGTTCCATGAAAAAAGTAAAATATGAATCTAAATTTGTGAAATATACAAATTACAGTGGGGTGCAACAGAGCACTAAGGGTAAGAGCTTGGACTGCCAGGCAAAGAAGCAGCTTACCCACCCACTAGGCAAGTCATCTGGGGCAAACAGCTTAACTGTTCTGTGCTGAGTTTGCTTGTCTGTTAGATGGCATCAAAATGACTGTACCTACCTATGATGATTTTAAAACACGACCCCAAATTTTTTGATACTGCTCCCATTGAGAGGTGAGATCTACATCTCCTCCTCTTAAATGCACATTCTATGTTTTGCCTGCCAAGGGAATTTGTTGGGAGTGATGCACTATCAAGTTCCAGACCCCAAGCCTTAAGAAACTGACATTTTCCCCTTCCAGTATCTTGAGCCACTTATTCGTCACCACGCCATGAGAAAGCCTAACCTGTCCTGTGGTTGGAGACCACTAGCAGGTATCAACATGCCACCCGGTAACTAAGTCAGCTTTGAAGCAAATTCTATAGCCCAGTTGATTATGCATGGACCAAAGATGACCTCTTCCCAAACTATAGATCCCTAAGCCAAATAAATGACTTTTGCTATCTTAAGATACTAAGTTTTGGGGTAGTTAGTTATATAGCAATAATAACCAGAAGGCCACCTGAGGTACATGATGTCACCATAAAGATTAAATATATTAATATGTAAAGCATTCAGAAGAATGACTAAGGAAAGGTGAACACTATGAAAGTATTTTAGTCATCATGATTACAGACCTGCATTACCCAATAAATTAGCCACTAACTACATGTAGCTACTTAAATGTAAATGTAAATCAACTGGACTTAAACTAGAAATTCAGCTCCTTAGTTGCATTAGCCACAACTAAAGTGCCCAACAGTTATTTATATGTGGCTAATTGCTACCGTACTGGCAGGTCAGATAAAGAACATTTCCATTATGCCAGAAAGTGAAAATTCTACTGGACAGCTCTCTTATAGATTTACAAGAGTTAATGAGAACAATGTTGACTGGAGAATCTACTTAAATAATTCAATAAAAAAGTAACTATTTGTAAATAATGCCTAAAACATTTGTTAGCTTATGTAGGTTTAGCTTTCCTTCAATTAACACAAATACATTTCTCCAAAACACTGTGGCTCTCTTTGTCCTTCACCCCCCAAGCTGTATTATGTCTGAATTATGAACAAATTATTTATTAAGTCAAAATTAATAGCAAAGGCTATCATAGCGATTATGAATGTAAGTCAAAAAACAAAAACACCTGCACACTTAACAACATAATACTAAGACAATATCTAAGTCAATCAATAAATAGCATTTGATGGAATAATATGTACCATTTAAAACTACTTATGAAGATTTCATGGAGATATGAGAAAACATGAGTGCTCCAATGTTGAATTTTAAAATCTGGATTCACCTTACATGAAATATGATCTAACTAGTAAAAAAAAAAAAAACCAATCACAAAAAACACGAAAGTATAAAATGTATAAAGCAAAGAGCAAAATATTAAGTGATTCACTTAATATGAGATTCATTCAAACATGATTCAGTTGGGAATAAAGGACAATGAAAGATACAGTGTTTCAAAGTGTTAACTGAAGGAAAGCTAAATCTACATATGTTAAGAAATGTTTAGGCATTATTTACAAAACTTTGTTATTTGAAAGTTATTTTTCATTGAATTGTTTGAGTAGATTTCCAGTCAACATTTTTCTTGTCAGCTCTTCCTTGTAAATCCAAAACAAAGTTGTCCAATAGAACCTTCACTTTCTGGGATGATGAAATTGCTCTTTATCTGACCTGCTAGTATGGTAGTTTTATGACTGAGATAATTTTATCTTCATAATTTTCCTGAACTTTAAAGTTACTTTGTATTGCTTTTGAACCAAGAAGGTAGATACTTACTTAAAACCTGCAGAGCAGAAGT